TCCTTCCTCCCTTCCCTCCTCCCCTCCTCTCCTCTCCTCTCCTCTCCTCTCCTCTCTTCTTTCTCTCTGTTTGTATCTGTCTAGCTACATTTTCAGTATTACTGCTGCTGTCTTATATCCTCACCCTTCTGGTGAATGTAGAGAGGAGAAAGAGAGACGTTCTTCCTATGGAAAAACTAACAACTACCATGGTTGAAAGTAGGAAATAGAACAGAGGTTTGAAGTTAAACCTCATCTCCATGCCTGTTGCTTTCATTAGGAGAAGTGAGATGGTCGCTAATAGTTTCACCTTTACCATTTGTTACATTTGCTGTAAGTCAGGCTATGATCCTTCCCTGAGCTTCTTCTTTTTGGTAACAGGTTTTAGTTGTGTCAGTCATGTTGCAGCCTCATTAGTATCTGTGTGACATCCCTCAGGATACAGGAAAGGGTAGCACATTGCTTATCTGAGCACAGATGCAGCACACATTAGAACGTAGCAAGATAGATCAGTATCAGCTATGAAAGGTTCAGGTTTTTTGAATTGAAAGAATGTCTGGAAAATATTTTAAGTAGTGTATGGGTCCAGGAACCAGAATATGACATAATATTTAGGTGGTTTGCGTGTCTGCCATTCACAGTCACTGCTGTAAGAAGTGACACTTGCATTGTAACAGACAGAAACTCTGATCAAGCCCTTTTTCATCACAACAGTAGTTGGATGGGTGCTACTGAGCATGCAAATAATGGGGGTGGCTAAAGGAAAAGTCTGAAAACCTCAAAAGCTTAAAAAATGCTTTCTGTTTTTGTCAGTGCCTTCTGCTTCCAAGCATTTGCAGTCTCAGGTTAACTGCCCAGCTCTTATTTTCTTCTGGCTTTTCCCCACTGGAATAATTATCCTTCTAAATAGTCTTTCAGTACCAATGATCCTCACTTAGCTAACAGTTTTGTGGAAGTCAATGGCTTTAGTTAATTTTCTCCTTTTGAGTGAAAACTAAAATATATGTGAGACCGCTAGCACCTGCTGTTGTTGAAGAGGAGTTACAGCTGCCCTCTTCAGGCAGTGGAAAACAAAGTTGTCCAGCTAGTCAGTTCTGCGTGCCTTCAGCGTGATGGTTGTAATCTGTAAAGTTCTGCATGCACTTAAGATGAGGTTCATGTTCGGAACTATATACTTAAGTATATAAGCCCTATTTTGTCATGTATATTCCCTTTGAAAACAATGGAAACTGGTAATCTAGTAGAAGTTAGATACTCTGTACCTTTGTGGATATGGATCCACATCCGTAAGAACGTTTCTATACTTTTATGTATGGACACAAAAGTTCTTAGAAAGTTCAGCCTGCTGACTAGTACGTGTACTTGAACCAAAATAAGAATATCCAAAAATGACATTGGAACAACGTAGCTTTTATAAGTGTGTTAGTGTTGTTGCTGTTGTTTGTTTACTGAGGCTAGGGACATTTCTCATATTTATGATACGAGGTCAGAACAAGACTATTCCTGTCCCAAGGGCTCACATCCTATTACAAGAGAAGAGACAAGAGGATACCATAAAGGGAAACACACTGGCAGTATGCAAAACATTAGCAGCAGTGTAAGAGCAGCCTTGAATACCACTTTTCCCATAAAGCTTGTGATTTTCTTTAATCTCTGTCTTCTAGAATTGATTTATTAACTTAGTATGTTTTCATTGGTTCTATCATGCACAATTGCGGACAAACCCAAAATATGGAAATGTGACACTCAATAGATGTGACAAAGAAAAGCCCTCCAAATGTTTGCTTCTTAAGTGTCAGCCAATCTTTTCATTTTGTAGAGAAAGAAAGGAGTTTAAACGGTTAAACCTAACTAATGACTGGAGTAGAGGACAGTGAAATGGCCATACCAACATCTCTTGGAACACTACTAACATTTGTGGGAAATTTAAGTTAAAAGCATCTAATTTGGTTAAATTGGGACAAATTTCAGAAACAGGATCCAGAAGCACTCTTAAAATGGCTGGAGTTTGGGTTAGAAGGCATCAGGGTAGATACATGAAGGCAGGCTATTGAAGTGTCTGTATAGCTACAGGGTTTCAGTTATTTTCCCCATTAGACTGCAGAACCAAAATACTCAGTGGGCATAAAGGTTCATCAAATACATACAATCAGAAGAATTGTATAGACCCTTACACTAATTTCTATTCCTCTTCAGAGCTCAAATATTGCTGTGTTGCTTCTCCTCATATCTACAATTCTCCAGCCTTAAGAGCTTAGCTCCAGTGTCCATCTGAGAGAAGAAAGGCCTTTCAAATGTCAAACATAAGTACAGTGACCATTTTCCTAACTTCCCTTTTCCAGATGCGCAGATATTTCTGGGATCTTAACACAGGGGGAAAAAAGGAAAAAAAAAAAAAAAACCAAAAAAACAAAACCAAAAAAACCAAAGATGACAAATCCTGTATTCCCTTTGCAGTCTTTAAGTCTCAGGATAACTTACTTTGTTGAGGTTGTAAACAAAATGTCAAAAAGAGCTATTTTCTTGACACTTTTCTTCATGGCAAGCATGGCTAAACTTAGATTGCTCTGCTATTCCAGAGCAATCCTTGCTCTGGAATCAAAGGGGGTCTGTGCATACTGTTGATTATGATAGTCAAGGTGGTAGTGCCACCGTGCTTCCCCAACTAAGCAAATGATTTAACCACCTTCTAAATGTGGAAAACCTAAGAATAAGGAAAATAATAAGTACTTTTTGTCTAGTGTGCCATGGCATAGTGAATTGGATCATGTTAGGCTTCATCTGCTGCCTAATGCAATGTAACGTAGCAGATAAAATAAATCAAATGGGTGACACTCTATTAGACTTGAAAAATGATAGCTCTTTTAAAGCAGCTGATGTGAGAATATGTCAATGCAGCAGATTTCAGATGTTTATTGAAGTCCTGAATCTTTGAAACCCAGCAAATGCATATTTTAAGGGCTATGAAACAAGTGACTAGAAATACAGCAGTATGCTTATTACTGACAAAGCTGTTGCCTGAAACAGAATTTAGCTAAATCTTATGTTTGCTTTGTGTGCTCAATTCATTTTTTCATTTCTGCGAGTGCTTCCTAGAGACTTTGGCTTGAACTTTAAAGTGTACCACTATGAATGCTGTAGTGATTATTGTTGTAGCTAGACTCATAATTTTTAGTTACAAAAGTTCAGTAGTGTCTACCAAAGATAATTTTAAGTTTCACTCAACTAGAATTTATGAATATGGATTCAAAGCAATAGTATAAAAAAAATTTTTTTATTGTCTTCAACACTGTAATAAAAAGTTATGTTTACTTGGGTCAATTTTAAGGAAAGTTTTAATTTGCGTTTCTTTCTTGTATTTCTTTCAACTGTTTGTTCATTTTGAATGCTTATAACAATTCACTGTGTAATTCATTACTTGAGCCTTTAAAAAGTTGATCTGCTAATTATCATTCAGTAAATAAGCATAGAGTTGCTGTAAAGGTTGTAACCAGTTAGGAAGCCTATGAAGTCATGCATATTCTCTTTACTTAAAGCTGTTCTTTTTTGTTTCTGCTTTGTTTGCTCTGTGAAGGCAGAAACCTCAATTCTCACTCAATTTGCAGTTTAAATAAGTTTTTTATGTCATCATTGTGATGGTATTGTGAATTAATTATTTCAAAAATATAGGCAAAAAACTGGTTCAACAGCAAGTTTTTTTAATTATTTTTTGATATCTGAAAAAAGAGTGGAAGCATCTTACTTATTTAAATAACATGTGGCCTTCCCAAATACAGTGTTTTTTCTATAAAAATATAATGCATTTTCTTAAAGTTGAGAAATAAATTGTTGAATTATTTAAAATTAAAGTAGCTTCTTCAAGAAATTTGTCTTCTAAATCAGATTTTTTTGTGTGTTCTCAACAGCAGAATAACAAGCTTTGAAGAATAAACCTCCATTTATGAAGGGAGTGTGCCTCCATTAGTTTCTGGATTTGTTCTCTATTACAGTATTTTTACTTATGTAGGAAGTTTTCAGAGCCTGACAGGATACTGTTAAGGACACTTGGGTACTATGCCTGTAATTTTGTTTTTGTAATCCGTTTGGATTTTTGAAGTTTAGCCTCTGTGAGTACGTACGAGTTATTCACACCTGTTCTTCAGATTATTAAAATGCTTCTCTAATATATCTTCCTCAATAATTGACATGTATACATAATTTGAAATTAATGTTGCAGTTAATATTTGAAGAAAAAAATTAACATTAATTGTATTTGCGCTTTGTTGTAGGTATTATGTGATAAAGTCAAGAACCCAAAACTAGAACAAAAATATAATTAACTTTCTTTCTCTGTGTAGCCCACAGTTTGTGAACGGGAACTCTGTGTATTTGCTTTCCAAACATTAGGAGTGATGAATGAAGCTGCTGATGAAATTGCAACTGGGGCTCAGGTAGAATTATCCAATGCTTATTATATGTCTGATTTTCCATAGTATGCTCAGTCTTCTCAGTCTCTTTTAGTATTTATTTTGACTTGCATTCCCCATATGAGTACCGTTTGGTAAGTATTATTTATTTGTCCACTCTTACAGCTGTAAATACACTGGTTTATGCATAGCTTTTTCAAACGGTACTAATCAGGTGCTTCCATTGTTTTGCTTCCATGTAATTAGAGTAACCCTGTTTTCTTGTTCTGCTGTATTCAATTAGATCACCTGGGTTGTTAATAAAGGCAGTCATTGTCATTTGGAGATAATTCCCATTTATTTTTGCCTAATGAGCCATTACTGCTCTCATGCAATTAATAAGCTACTTCCTGTTCGTGTTGTTGGGATGCAGCTATCCACTGAGCATCTGTTGTTTTGATCATTAAATAACAGTGGGAAAGTCCTTACTGATGTTGCTAGATAGGTTTTTTTCCTCTCTTCTCAAGAATCAAAAATTTAATATAAGCTTGCTTCCTGGCTCTAAGTTCAATTATTAATGTAGTTATAACCATATAATTGTTTTCTTTCATAATTTTATGTGGCTTAAAGTATTTTAAACTATGTTTCCAAATTACCATTTAACCTCAGATCACAGTAAATTCAAAAGTTAAAAGGTCTTATGTGTAAGATCCTTTTAAGATCTTACGTGAAAAATTTACACCTCTTACAGAAAAGGGCATTCATGCCTCTCAGATTTCCTAGACATAAGTCACTCACTATGCATTTGTGTAGTAAGCAACATGTTTTTTTCTGGAAGACTAAACATTCAGTTCAGATAACCTTAACTAGCACTAGTGAGTCTAGCCACTGGAAATAAACTATTTGGCTAAGTGCCTGAATACCGCCTATGGGCATATCCTCAAAGGAAGAAGCTTGCAGCAGTGTACACCAGCTTCTTCACTTGAGAATATGACTGCAGGATCTGAACATCAGCTCTTCATCTGATGTCTGAAGACCGTTAGATGGCTAAATTTGCAACATCTAGCATACCAAACATTGGGATAGCTGTGTAAGCTTCTAAGGAATGGAGAGAGGTGTGCTGATGAAGCCCTACCTCTTCCTCAGCCTGAAGTCCTCTGAAGACCTCAGCTATGTGTTTCTGGGCAGCTAGAGGGTTTGGTTTTTTTTAATTCAAGCACTTACATGGTACATGACATGTACATTTAGAATCAGAGAATCATAGAATGGTTTGGTTTGGAAGGGACCTTTAAAGGTCATCTAGTCCAACCCCCTTGCAATGAGCAGGAACATCTTCAACTAGATCAGGTTGCTCAGAGCCCCATCCAACCTGACCCTGAATGTTTCCAAGGATGGGGCATCTACCACCTCTCTGGGCAACCTGTTCCAGTGTTTTACCACCCTCATCATAAAAGAATTCTTCCCTATATCTAGTCCAAATCTACCCTCTTTTAGTTTAAACCCATTACTTGTCCTATCACTACACTCCCTGATAAAAAGTCCCTCACCATCTTTCCTGTAGGCCCCTTTCAGGTACTGGAAAGCTGCTATAAGGTCTCCCTGGAGCCTTCTCTTCTTCAGGCTGAACAACCTCAACTCTCTCAGCCTGTCTTCATAGGAGAGGTGCTCCAGCCCTCTGATCATCTTCATGGCCCTACTGTGTACTCACTCCAACAGCTCCATGTCTGTCTTGTACTGGGCACCCCAGAGCTGGGGACACAGTACTGCAGGTGGGGTCTCACAAGAGCAGAGTAGAGGGGCAGAATCACCTCACTCAACCTGCTGGTCACACCTCTTTTGATGCAGCCCAGGATATGGTTGGCTTTCTGGGCTGCAAGCACACATTGTCAGGTCATGTTGAGCTTTTCATCAACCAACACCCCCAAGTCCTTCTCCTCGGGGCTGCTCTCAATCCCTCCATCCCCCAGCCTGTAGCTGTGCTTGGGATTGACCTGACCCATGTGCAGGACCTTGCACTTGGCCTTGTTGAACATCCTGAGGTTCAGGTGGGCCCACTTCTTGAGCTTGTCCAGGTCCCTCAGGATGGCATCCTGTCCCTCAGGTGTGTCGACCACACCACACAGCTTGGTGTCATCTGCAAACTTGCTGAGGGTGCACCTGCTTCTGCTTTGTCATTGATGAGGATATTAAAAAATACTAGTCCCAGTATGGGCCCCTGAGGCACACCACTCGTCACTGATCTCCATCTGGACCTTGAGCCGTTGACCACTACCCTCTGTATGCAACCATCCAAACAATTCTTCATCTACCAAACAGCCCACCCATCAAATCCATATCTCTCCAATTTAGAGATACAAGCAAGTAGCTCTCACTTCTCTTTTTAAATATAGCTGACAGGAAAGGTGGTCCTGGTTTGCTCTCACTCTGTGTTTTGTGTAGATGTCACTGTTGCAGACATATGCAGAGCTTGCTCTAGATCTCTAGAGTACCTCTGCATCTACAGAGCTTTGCTGTAGAGTACTGAAGTGATTACAACTGTAATAGTGCTTAAAAGAGTTAGACGAGGTTTTGTTGATTGTCCCATTGGACTGAGGTGACTAAATTTTGCTAAGTTTCACTTTAGTGATAGCATTGCACCCAGCTCACTCCATCTGATCTGGTTGAGCTCCTATTCCTGTTTGCAGAAAGAATTCAGCACTTCCAAGGTTTGATTCATCTGAGCTATTTTTGATATTAGTTTAGGATAGTGTGAATCACAGCATAGACTATCAGCACAGTGATTATTTTCTTTATTGATTATAAAGAAAGCCTAGGCCGACTAGTAAGAGGTAGGTGTTCGCATTGTGAATTTCTACATATTGTCAGAAGAATCGTCCTCAAGGAGCCTAAATATAAGTTCCCATTATTAGAAATCACATCCTATTTTTATCTGCTGTGCTTTCAGCTAGTTTCCTAAGGTATACACCCATACTTTGTCACTCCCAATATTCTGATGGCTCCTCCTTAGTAATAAGTGATTGTACTTTCTAAAACTTTCAAGCCCGAAGTCACCTTGCCTTATTAGTCACGTAGTCAAAATGCCTGAAAATTAAATGCCTGATTTGTTGATAGTTCAGACTCCCTGTAGAGAGTCGCTGGAGAGAGAGAGGCACTATCTGAGTGAATGATGTCATAAGAGGGAATTGTCATCAGTAAGTGTCGTCTTGTCCTCCTTGAAAATATTTTAATCCTTGAAAATATTTTAATCCTTACTTACGTACTTCAGTACCTACTGTTAAGGAAGAGGCATTCAGGCTCAGCTATTAGGACATTTACTAGATGCACAGCACTTCTTGTTACCAAGGAATACATACACAAGTTTGTATTAGTGTTTGTATTAGACTTACCTCCCAGTTTAAGTTGCTCTGCATACCACCACCTCAAAACAATGATCTCAGGGGAAATAAGGGTTTAACTATGCCTAATCTATGCATGTTTTCCCCTATATCAGACCAATATGCAGATATCATGGTGAGAAACAATATAGGAGTCAACAGCTGGTATAAAGGCGGGCTTTAGGATGGTGCTCTAAGAAGAATTGTGCCAATTTTAAGACAGAGTCTCATCATACAAATCATAAAGCAAGACAACTTTGACTCACTGTATTAAGATATTTGGAGACTCAAACAACTCTTCCCTAGCAGTGTTTTGTGACTGGAAGCTAAGTGCTTCTGAAAAGCAGGGCATATGAACTCAGGCTCAATTTCATGGTAATACATTTACACAGTTGCAGGCCTGTTGCCTGACCTGGCCATGTATACAGATTCCTGGTCTCCTTTGCAAATGCTAATGCAAATGCCCTATTTTGAAACATTCATCACACTTACAGGTATTAAATACGGAAAGGTAATCAGGGCACCATGAAGGAAGAGATCATTACTTAAATAACTTCATTTTTCAATATATGTAAGATATTTAGTAACTGGAACTAACAGAATATTTTTAAACTGATGGAGAACATTGTCCATTCATGCTAAAGGAGCAGAGGAGGAGAATGGCAACAGTATGACTCACTGCAGCGCAGTTCCTTTTCTTTTTCTCATGATTCTTATTTTCATTCTGCTTCTGTAAAGGACCATCTTTTTTTTT